TCGAAGGTCCAAATAATATGGGAACCGACCTGTGAGATTTATATTTAATTTATATGAATTTATATAGAATTTATATTTATGTTAATTTATATTTTTCGATAGCAATTTGTATGATGTTAAGTGGACTGTATTTCTGCAATAATCTCACAAATCGATCCTTACACATTAGGGGGGTATATATTAAATTTATATATATGCAGTCAATCACACTACAGTATTAAACTACATATATTGGTATACATTGAGGAGGTTCCTTATCTTATTGTACATCAGGCTTAGTCCACCAGGTATAACTAGGCTGTAGACACCAAATTATCTGTCCTCGTTTGAGGCTAGCTTCCATCATCCAGTAACTGATGTATCAAGTCTTGCTTCCTCTTCTTGTTCCTGTCAAAGAGCATTACCTGTAAAGCCAGAATCCTAATATATATGACAGCTATATCTGAGAAAACACTGTATATTAAATAATAAGGACCAAGGCTTAATTACCTTTTATTATGAGGCGGGTTCACATTCTAACCGGTTCGCCCTTATCTACCTAACATTTAACTGGCCAGAAATGATTAGATAAACGGGTTTTGGTTGGACACTTTCCTTGATTATGTTGACAGCGTGTTGATGATGGAAGACCACTACTCTGATCAACGTCACACTTCGTCCAAAAGAAATTATAGGAGCTGAATTTGCTCCACTGCACCTCTGGTCTTAACAACAATGGCAGACCTCTTCCTCCTCACTGACGCCTTGGCACTTTGTCCGATAAAAGGATCACATTTACTATATTTTGATACTGATAATTAAGTTAATTCAAACGAGATGTTTTTATGATGGTAAAAGTCCAAAGACTAATGTATTTAAGAATAATTCCCAACATAATAGTTGGTGAATTTATAATAGTATGTGGCAATGATATCCCGTTTTTTATTGACGGAAAATTCCACTACAAGCTACATTTTCTATGGGTTAACTTGTGTATACAACACAGTAGCAATATTATCTGCAATTGCATGTAATATTATTAAATAGTGTCGGATTTTCTGACACCTTGAGCGAGTGTGTCAATGGTTCTGGAGGATCATGGGTGTGGTGGTTCTCTGGGTCCGCAAGCTTGCAGACCCAGAGAAGCGCGAACATTGGTCCGAGAGAGCGTCCTCTCAATATGGACGTCTTCATTAACATTTGAGATCATGACGGAAGACATCATTGGTAGCCTAACAAACGATGTTTAACATTCGTCATATAGTAGTTTGCTGTCTCGTTATTGCGCGCGCGATAGTTAAGTGTTTCTTTTAGTTTAGATTTTTTTATAATATTTATAATTATTGAATATTTTTACTTATATGAAGTTATGTTGCGAACTCACATAATTCTCTATTCACTGAAGATCTAACATTTATATGCCAGATATAGCGTATTATTTGCACACACACAACATAATTCAATAATAATAATAATAATCACGCATTATGTCAGGGAACAGGAAGCCAGAGTGTACACGTTAGGCTTATATGGAGGTTCCCCACCCCACAAGAATCTGACAATCTCTTGAGTACCTACTCCAGCTTTCGTACCTACTCAGGTACTCAGTAGGTACTCAAGTAACTGAGTACCTATCTTGAGGGTTATGTTGTGATGATTTCGAAGCTTAGCGTCTCTGTGGGCCGATCCTCGACCAGGCCTCATTTTTGTTACACTCACAGGGGCCACGTAGCCTGGTGGATAGCGCGCAGGACTCGTAATTCTGTGGCGCGGGTTCGATTCCCGCACGAGGCAGAAACCAATGGGCAAAGTTTCTTTCACCCTGAATGCCCCTGTTACCTAGCAGTAAAATAGGTACCTGGGTGTTAGTCAGCAGTCACGGGCTGCTTCCTGGGGGTGGAGGCCTGGTCGAGGACCGGGCCACGGGGACACTAAAGCCCCGAAATCATCTCAAGATAACCTCAAGAAGATAACCCCAGGAAGCAGCCCGTAGCAGCTGTCTAACTACCAGGTTCCTATTTACTGCTAGGTAACAGGGGCATCAGGATGAAAGAAACATTTTGTCCATTTGTCTCCGCCGGGTATCGAACCCGGAACCTGAAGACTACGAAAACGAAGCGCTATCCATCCAGCTGTCAGGCGCCCCGCACACACAACGGTACCTAAGTACCGTCTCTAGCTTTATTTATTCCTATTAACTCCTACGGTTAATATTTACCTTCACACGTTTAACCTCACATTCTAATCTTATAACTTTACTTTATCTGCCACTCTTCTGAACACGACGTGATAATGGTCCATGACGAACAGAAACCTCTTCACTTCCTTTATTTTCAGATGAATGGGTTGTTGTGACTTTGCTGGCTACGTTCTTCTAATTGTTACAGATAAATGTTTAGCTAATTGATTATTTCCAGTTTCTTGAAAAAGTTTTCACACATTGTAATGTTGTCTTCGTGTTCACCCTTCTGGAGGTTATCCTGAGATGATTTCGGGGTTTAGCGTCCTCGCGGCCTGGTCCTTGACCAGGCCTACTTTTTGTTACACCTCCCCAGGAAGCAGCCCGGAGCAGCTGTCTAACTCCCAGGTATCTATTTACTGCTAGGTGAACAGAGTATCAGGGTGAAAGAAACTCTGCCCATTGTTTCTCGCCGGCGCCGGGAATCAAACCCCTGCCCAGAGGATTACGCGAACAGGGTTCTGTCCACTCAGCCACCGGCCCCTGTGTGTGCTTGTGTATTAACCATTTGTTTCCGCCTCCGCTGGGGAAGAGAAATCTTAGGACTACGACTCCCGAGCGCTTTCCACTCAGCCGTCAGGCTCCTGGCCATTACGGATAACGGATTCTCCGAATACTTTAGGATGGGGTATTGTTTGCTGTTGTGGATTATGAGTTATAGATCACGGTCCCCCATTTCACTATTAAAAGACACGGACAAAAACTTCCACTTAATTGTTAAAAGGGAGTAACCTTTAGCATCATTGGAACACATAGCCTGGCCAAATATCAATCAATTTTCTAGGGAGTAAAAGGCTAGCAACAAATATTCCAGTTTACTTGCATTAATATATATCCACATAACATTGAAATAATAACCATCTACTAAGTTACACACAATTTCTTTATCCAGCTTCTCATCAGCTAGGCATGATCATCACAAACAGGTCTGGAAACTGCATCAATCAACACTAGCTGACACCAGGAGCTTTGCCTGGCGCAGTGGAATACTAGCGTCTATATCCTGCTAATACCAATAAAGGGTGGTGGTGTCATAACCAACACATGAGGAATGAGGAAACAACATCACATAGAGCACCATGGTATTACTTAAGTTCCTCAGAATATCACCTCACAAAGAAATATAAAAACCTCTACCACCTGATATACATGTTGAACAACAGTAGAAATGATCCATGTTAATACATACTGTTACATGATAATAATATTAGCAGGCACACTACACAAATAAGGTTCAAAATCTCGGACCAGAACACCACACATGTGCTCGTCTGGGAAGGTCAAGGAGTAGTGGCGCCTTCAGCCAGCCTGGCTGGGGCGTGACATTGTATCCAAATCCCATGAGTCAACTGACTCCACTCTTTCAACTCTTTCTAGCTCATTTACAGACATAACTCACTCATGAACTAATTTAATATATACCGCACAGTAAAGATTATAAGACATAACCTTACATAATAAGAATTCAGTACATTAGAGAATTTATCAGGATGTAAAAATATGTACACAAAGATTTCGTATTGGTAAGACATGGTAACGCATGCGCGAGTCGGTACATCACAAGGGGAGAAGGGAGGGAAGAGGGGTTAAGGAGGATTCAAGAAGTCGGCCAACCGTTAAAACATATGTATACAAGAATACAAAATAAATTAGATATATACAACATGTGTATCAAAAGCTTGTCTAGGTGGAAAACATTTCACAGTGCCATAATCACATTAAATGTCATGACAAGAGGACAATGCAAGGAACAACACTGAACTGGAAACTACGCAGTATACATATGAGTAATAACTCCAAAACCTAATTGTATACATTCTTCATCATAGTCCACATAATGTTACCTATACAACATTTATGTAGCGTTACATACAATAAGCATACAAGGATGTTTTTCAAACGCCATGACATTAGGCTACTGCTATACGTTAGACATCTAATATACATCCACAGTTACATGGCATACAACTTTGATACATAATTAATATAGACTTCGAACTGTATGTCATACATTGACAATACGTAAAATAAGAATAATATACTGTCACAAGATTAGATACTACTTACTATATTCGTGATACGAGGCTATCAACCAAGATATCACTTAGCACATCATACACCAGTCTCAGTATGATCATACTGGTGTATGCGTGGTCATAACATTTGCCAACTGCTGAAGTGCGAAAAAAGCTTGCTGAAAACTACCTTGCAAACGATTCAATCCCCAAGTCTAATATTTGTAATTCCTTTCCATTCACCTTTTATCAATAGTATCGTTTCCTACTTTCGATTCCAAATTCTTTGACGATTTACATTTTTGCTTTGGTTACCGTATAAATTAAAATGATATAGTTAGAAGGTGTTTTGTGGAGAGATAATGCCAGAAGGTAATGGTGTGTGCAGCATAGTGTTTGTGGTGCGATAATGAGAGAAGGTAATGGTGTGTGCAGCATAGTGTTTTGTGGAGAGATAATGCCAGAAGGTAATGGTGTGTGCTGCATAGTGTTTGTGGTACGATAATGAGAGAAGGTAATGGTGTGTGCAGCATAGTGTTTGTGGTGCGATAATGAGAGAAGGTAATGGTGTGTGCTGCATAGTGCTTTGTGGTGAGATAATGACAGAAGGTAATGGTGTGTGCAGTATAGTGTTTTGTGGTAAGATAATAAGAGATGGTAATGGTGTGTGCAGCATAGTGTTTTGTGGTGAGACAATGAGAGAGGGTGTTGGTGTATGCAGCAGTGTTTTGTGGTAACATAATGAGAGATGGTAATGGTGTTTACAGCATAGTGTCGGCCAACTTGAAGAGCACAGTGTACTGCACCGCTATTGCTGCTGGTGGAGAAGAGGAGTGGAACTTTGGCTGGAACCAGTACCTGGCCTCCAACCTTGGCTCTGAAAAGTCCACGCTCCTCTCTGCCCTGGGATGTACCAAGCAGATCTGGATCCTCTCCAGGTAAGCTTAAGCACCTAAAATAATTAGTCAGAACTCTTGAAATGTAATTAGTTTTTACTGTAAAGATTTAGTTTATATTCAATAAGTATTTTGTTTGGCGATCAATGTAAAATATTTATTACCGTTGTCCTTCCATTTGGACTTGTTGGTATATTGTAGACTTTGGTTCTTGCAAAGTGAACAATATACAGAGTCCAAGTCCGATCCATAAAAGTCCAAGTTGGTGGGCTGTGTTAACTGTCTCGTTTAATCAGCCTTCTGGCTTCATATTACTTCTAATGTGCTTCATATTCATCCTCAATCAGCACTTTATAGCTTTAATTATTTAATTTCATTTTATAAATTTAGATGTCACATATTTTATATAAAACTAGGAGTACCCGGCCACGCGCTGCTGTGGCTCAGCAACCTTCCCTGTCCACCAGTCCTCCCAACCATTCTCCACTCTTTCCGACTCCACCATCCCCTCTTCCTTCCCACTATGCCCCACTCGCCTGTCTATTTGACCTCCCCACCATTCTCCATTCCCTCATCCCCCTCGTCCCCACCATCGCAAACTCCCCCGTCCCATCGTTCTTCCGCACTATTACCCCCTCCCTTGTCCCCTCGTCCTCCCCATCATCTCTCACTTCCGTCCCATCGTCATCTCCACCATTCCCCACTCCCTCGTCCGATACCTTCCTAAATGGTCTGATGTTCCCATCAGTAAATTGGGAACACCAAGTGATCTGATGTTCCCATCACTGAAATATAAAAAACAGTTAAAAAATGAAATAAAAATATGAAAAAATATAAAAATAAACTATACTCACGAAATGCATGGTCTGGTAAACAACGCACGTTAATTACAACACAATTCACACAAATTAATTAAATCAAAATGAAAATTAATCAAAATATTTGAAAATTCAATTTATCAGTGCAATCAGAAACATTGAAATGGAATTGTAACATATCTAGTATAGCCTTAGTGTTGCTCATACATGCAACAGATGGCGCTGTTTTTCAAGGAAAGCATAGTTTTATCTGTCACAGGTGTGGTATCTATACTTATACTTATGAAATGAATGGTATGGTAAACATCACAGATCAATTCCAACACAGTGCCACACAAAATAATTCACTAAAAAATAAAATAAATCGAAATCTATGAAAATAAAATTTATCATAGCAATCGAAAACACTGAAATGGAATGCGTAATATATTTAGTATAGCGTGCATGTTGCCATTATGTGCAACAGATGGCGCTGTTTTAAAAAAAACGCATGTTTTTACCTGTCACAGGAGTGGCATCTATATAGTAGGTATATAAAGAGACGTGCCTATTCGAATGCAACGTTGTGTCAAAATTTCAAAGCATTCGGTGAAGAACTTTTGGAGATAAAAGCGTATGTTGATCTTACGTCAAACAGATGATGCTGTTTTTC